AACGATTCGCTATCACGTAACCCATATCTGGTAGAGTTAACCATTTATGTGGTGGATGAGGACCAAATTCCTCTATCATCAAAGATTCTCTCACTACTGCTAACTGATTAGTAAATAAATTGACATACAAACTTGATCTTTCATTATGTATTATTTCCAACCCCAAGTCTCGACGAATCATTGGCCAACCATCTTCACCATATCCATGCAATGAAGCAATGACTCGAAATCCACAATTACCATCTGATACAACATTAACTACATCATCAGTATATGACCTGATGTGATTAGGAAATTGAAGGATGAACTGCTTAGATGACTGTGAAGATTGTGATAATTTCAACTTTTTCGAAGCCTGTGATGGTTGAGATTTCTTTTGTGAAGACTGTGATAATTTCAATTTCTTTGAAGTTTGTGATGGTTGAGATTGCATATGTGAAGATTGAGATGCTTGATCAACATACTCGTGATCCAAAGGGTCTCTATAAACATCATATCCTACTGGTTTTTTTTCTTTCTTCTTGACTCCCCTTTTATTTTTTATTTTCTCAGGTGGTGGACACATAGAAGTCATTGTAGGGAAGACAAGTTCAAAAACCCTACTTTTTAATGCCCTTTTCCCAACAACATTCAGTGACTTAAACCTTTTCCATAACTCATCTATTGCACTACTCATATCCACCTCTGATCCATCATCTACATCTTCGTCCAACTTAACTTCCATACTTAGTTTTCTCCAATGAACATGTACAACATCTATTGGTATCGGTAAACCATCAATTCTATATCCTGTCAACTCACAAGCACAAGGTAATTTGTAGGTTGTTCTAAGAGTACAACGACATATTTCCTTGTTAGTTCCAACATAATCAACTCGTTTTAACTCTTCAGCAATGCGTCTCAATGCTTCTCGAGACACTAAACCACGTAAATTATTGTAAAATGGACTTACGTGGGCGTGCTCAACTTCATAAGAACTCTTTTAAAAAGAATCTCTAATATTACTCAATTGTAACTTTAAGTTGTCATTCATAGCCTCCCAACATTTGACCATGTCACCAATACTGTTCCCCAACATTTGCTTTAACTTCCAATGAGCAGACTCAACCCTAAAATTAATACATATTTAAAATATTTTTAAAAAATTCAAAAAAAATACAATTTAGAAATACTAAAAATAAATACATATCGATTAGTCGTAGTGTTACCCAAATGTAGCACTCGATTAATCCATGCTCCAACAAATCTTTGTCTATATGGTGTCAACCATGTATCCTTCACATAATCAATAAATTCATTACAATCAACACACGCCTGCTCAAGTTGGTTCAACCTTTGATCATACTCAACCTCATCACTAGCCCATACAACATCCCTCCATAATTCGTCAATTTTCTTTTGCATGTCACTAGCCACATATTGTTTCCGTTTTGCACCAACATTCTTGTTAATATGAAATCGACATTGCATATTGATCGACCTTGGAAACACAATTTCAATGCCTTTTATCAAAGCAAGATCTCTATCTGTCAAAATCACTTGTGGACACAACTCTTTCTTCATAAACAATTGTTTAAGCTTATCTAGTACCCAACAAAAAGTCTCAGTTTGCTCAGACTCAATATAGGCAAATGCGACAGCAAAAGTCAACTCGGTTGATGTCATGCCAACTATTTCAAACAGAGGTTGCCTATATTTGTTTGTCTTGTAAGTGTTGTCCATAACTAGCACAATAGAAAAAATATTCAACAACTTAACTGAATCTGGATGAGCCCAAAAGATATCTCTAATTACTTCAGAGTCATCTCTTTTTCTACTCCAATAAACATAACCTGCTTCCTCAATAAGCTTAAACAAATGTTGTATCTCACTTCTAGGACCTCTTATATTTTTTTCTATCATACTCTTCTGTTTGTATATTTGCGTGATCCGAGTGACATTATCTGATCTTGCTCTTGCAATGAAAGCAATATATGTCTAGGTGGAACCTTTCTCTTTGTCAAATCAACAACATGTTGCTTCTGATCCGTTGTCAACCTACCGACAAATGCGCGACCTTCTAATCTATCAGGTAAACCATGGTTATGAACTCCACATTTTACATCAATCTTCCATCCAGATCCATCAGCCGTTGGAATTGACCTGATTCTAAATGGACATCCACATTTTTTCGTCGCACTCTGGGTTCCACTATCAATATCTCTGTGTTTTCCTCCTTTATCACATCCAAATATTAATTTGTTACTTCTTCCTCTCTTGCCTGTTTTAATATCTGAACGAGTGATGATAACCGTAACTTTATTTCGGATTCCGATCTCTTTAATCCATCTTATTACCTCTTCTCGTGTACCAAATCTTTGAGTTGTTGAAAAAACATCAGACGTATCTACGCATATCTGATCTTTATCGCATATTTGTAAAGGAATGTCTGAAACCTCTTCTCGTGTACCAAATCTCTGAGTTGTTGAAAAAACATCAGACGTATCTACGAATATCTGATCTTTATCGCATATTTGTAAAGGAATTTCTGAAATAATTACATAAAAAAAATTCAAAAAAAAAATTCAAAAATTCAAAAAAAAATTCAAAAATTCAAAAAAAAATTAAAAAAAATTATAAAAAAAATTGGACAAATCAAACCGGAACACTTGTAGCAAGTGTTCCGGTAACACTTGTAGCAAGTGTTCCGGTAGCTAAAAAACAAACCGGAAGACTTTTTACAAGTCTTCCGGTGAACATTCACGAAAATTACCAAACCGGAAGTCTTTCCTGAAGTCTTTCGGTACAATATTTTTGTGAACAAGAACTCTTTGTCCAAGTCTTCCGGTTTGAGAAAAAAAGCCTACCAGAAGTCATTTTCAAAATGTTCCGATAGATCGTGGGATGAATTTCTCGGAAGACTGAAAAATATAAAAAATAAAAAAAAATAATAAAATATTAAAATATATAAGAATAAAATGGATATTTTTTTAAAATTGTAGAGGTATGGATATAAGTGCATGAGTATTGGATAAAATTTCCTCATCGTCATGATATTGTTCAAGATTGGAGATGAAATGAGATTTAGCAAACTGACTAAATAGTATAGAAATAACATAAATCTACAATGATAATCTATTTCTAACATCGATGAAATTTTCAAAATGTGATTTTTCTTATCTTTGGTGTTATTGATTGTACCAACTTGGCTTCTGGGCACTCTATGATAGTGTTTGGATGGCCACTAATATTAAAGTTTACCCTTTAAATGGATGGTACTAATTCTTTTCGGTTTTTTTAATGAATGAGTTTTTTTATTTTATCTTAAAAAATTAAAGTGGTTGGTTGTTCATTACACAATAATACTAGGGGCGTGCATGAATTATAAACCAAATCAATCTAAATCACATATATAATTTGGTTTGGATTTTAAAACCGTTTATATAAAACCGGTTTATTTTTTAAAAACCAGTTTACAAGTGGATTGGTTCAATTTCAAACCGATTTTTTTAAAAAAATACAGCTTATTTAAAAACCAATTTTAAACCAATTTCTCTCAAAACCAGTTTTTATTTTCTTTAAAGAAATCAGTTTTAAAACTAATTTTATAAAAAAAGTCAATTTTAAAACTAATTTAAAAAAAAATCAATTTTACATTCACATTGATTTACTGCGTTCAAGAAAAAGTGGTCGAAGGACTAACTATGGCAACCATTACCCTCATGCTTGACAGTTATTCTGTCTCTCTACCACTACCTTTGGAACATGTATCTTTTATAATTAGAAGCCTTCCAATTTCAGACATGCAATGGGGGAAAGAATGCAGGGGCATTAAGATCAAATCAATTCAAGGAAAAGCAGTAATCGAAAATTCAAGTACTGAGTTATAGTGAGTTATAGGCATGTGTGTGACATGTTCTTTGAGCATCAATGTCTTAGAACTTGTAATATGTTTGTTTGTTGTGCAAATAAACTTTATTCTGTGCAAATTTGTTTAAAATTATTTTTAGTGTTTTAGTTAAGTTTGTAGGGAAAGTTATTTTGCTAAAAATGAGTATTATGTTTTAAATAAAAAACTATTTTGATTAACTTAAAAGAAAATATTTGAAAATAAAAAAAAACAATAATTTGTAATGAAAGACTAAATAAATCGTTAGGAGACTATGAGAATAGAAAAATTTCTTAAAAAAATAATATATATATATATATATATATATATATATATATATATATATATATATATATATATATATATATATATATATATATATATATATATATATATATATATATATATATATATATATATATATATATATATATATATATATATATATATATTATCTTATGATCATGAAACAAAAATAAGACAAAGAGTTTGAAAAGTGGATTAACTATGATTTTAAAAAGTGGACACCTGTTTTTAATGGTTTTAGTGAAATGAATATGGACTAATTTTTAAACTAAATAATATGGATTTTTGAAATCGGTGCACCATATTTTTAGAGTGCAGTTCAAAATATAACTTACGCACGTGGCTAATGGACACGAATTTTTGTAGGATTTTGGAGAATTGTATAGGGTATTTATAAAACCGTGTAAGAAATAAATGATGGTTGAAATAAAGAATGAGAAAAAAAGATAGTGGGAGAAGTAGTATCTTCGACCCTACAAAAATTACTCATGTAACATACAACTTGCCATATTTCATCTTCAAAAGCAGGCCACTCTTTTTTTTTAATCACCTTAAATAGAGACATTAGAGCAATTCATAATTATTAGAATCAAATGATTATTCTCTAGTGTATTAATTGGATTGAAGAAAAAAATCTCTTGTAATCTATGTAATGGCACATAGGCTCTTATGGACCCATAAAACTTATCAAAATAACGCATGCAAGGAGCCTTTAGCAAGTAAAATAAATTAGCTTATAATTTATAATTCATATATATCTTTACTATAAAATTTGATCAAACAAAAAAATCATAAAATGTTGGACAAACAAATTTAATACTAATTCTTAATGATCTAAAGGCTTCAAACAAATTTGCACACCATGTTTAGGCTTAATAGTAAGAACAGTGATCGGTGCATGTTTATAATTCTCAGAAATGGTGAAGCTAAACCTAGAAACTAACATTGCCAAAATAATCTTAGCTTCCATCATAGCAAATGACTGTCCAACACAGTTTCTTGGGCCAGAAGCAAAAGGTAAGAAACGACCAGGTATGAATGATTTTGAAGCAAATCTTTGTGGATTGAATTCATTTACATCTTTTCCCCATAATTCTTCGCTATGATGAATAGCCAATACTGGAATCCAAACTGATAAGCCTTTAGGAATAAAAAGATCACCTAAAACAATGTCTTGAAAAATCATTCTAGGGAGTAGGGTTGCTGGAGGATAGAGTCTCATTGACTCATTGATTACCATATGCAACTGTAAAAATTAAACTATAGATTAATATTTTGTTAATGAAAAAAAAATGATAATAGATAGAATACAATCACACCTAAGAGCATTTGGATTAGATAGTAAGAGATCACTTCTAACTTAATTGAATTTTGGATTTGAATGGTTTTTTTAGCACACAACAATGTTAAAGTTTTTAAAGAACTTTATTGCTCATTGTAGTTCTCTCCAACTACTTATGATGGAAAGTCGGGTTGCTTATGGTACAATTTTATTTGAAAATTAAATTGAAATATAGTAAAAAGTTACCCGAATTGAACCAACAACCATTTCAATTTGAATCGAACTAATATTATTGATTTGGTATACCAGTTCATAATTTTAAATTGTACTAAATTGTTAAAAGAATTTTTTTTAACTGAACAATTTATTAAAGAACTGAACCGTTATGTTATATTTAATTTTTTTAATGAAAAGTTTTAACTTTTTATTTTCAGTTTCAGTTCAATCAATTCAGTCAATTCAGTTATCATTTGATTTTATTCTAAAACTATTTATGCAATATAATTTGATTAATTAACTAAACATAATTGTTTAATTATGTTCTATCTTTTTTAAATGGTTAATGGAAAGAGTGGTTTCCCACACAACTATGTAAGTTGCTATTATTTAATTGATGTGCAAAAGATGCTACATTTTTTATAGTTATGATTTTTTAAGGTAATGTTGATTCTTTGACAATCTTTTGAAAAATCTATAGCCTCCTAAAAATAATCATGAGTATACTTCACTCTTTGATTTTTCTATTGTGCCTTCTCACCTCTATGAGTTGAACAAATATATTAATAAAATATGTATGAAGTGGGTAGCCATAAAACCATGACATAAATCATATTCATAAGGAGTGTCAATTCAATATAATAACTGCAAAGATATTATGTATTAAATTATATAATCTAATTATTTAATTTATACAAGATATTTATTAAGTGTCAATTTTATTTTATTTTTATTCTTCTAAAGGTATGGCTGTAACCTTACTGTAAAATTCAAGAATGAATTAAATAATATTTCACTTATGAGTATCTTTGGATACTCTAAAAGTAAGATACCTTTTAATTTCAAATGTATTCTTGAAACTACATGCTCTCATGAAGGTTTATATGTGATATATATTTAAATCAACTATGTTTACTTTGTTAGTTTATAGAGTCATACACTTGTTTTTTTTTTTAATTACTAAAGTCATATCCTAGTTAAGATCTTTAGGCTTGCTTTTTATTAGAAGTTGCAAATTAAATGACAATTTTATTATTCTTGTAATATTTATTTATCCTTTTTTATAATGTTACTAACTATTTGTACATTATATATATTTTTTTCTCTACGATAGATAGTCGAAAAATAATTACGAAAAAAGAAAAAATCTTAAAAAATATTTTTTTAAAAATAGAGAGAGTACTAACCACATTGAGTTTCGAGAGTTGATCAATAGAAGGCATTCCTTGACTAAAAATCTCTTTAACTTCATTTCTAATTTTTTCTTGCCAAATTGGATTGCTAGCTAACAACATAGCAGTCCATGTGAGTAAGAGTGCAGTTGTTTCATGTCCAGCAAAGAAGAATGTTTTGCATTCATCCATAACTAGTTGTAGGTTTAAGCTACCACTCTTTTTAGAATCATCTAAAAGCATTCCCAATAAGTCACTCCCATGAGAATTACTTCTTCCCATTTCCACACAATCTTTTCTACTTTGTATTATCTCTATCAAGAGTCTTTCTACTTCCATCTTCAATGACTTGATCTCTCTATTATAACTATTTGGAAAAAACCTACATTTTAAAGCAAAATGTGTTATACACTAAGCACAAAATATATTTTTATCCATCTTTTTCTTTTAATGGATTTAAGATGTGTATATCATATTTAATTTTATGTTTTTGCTTTAACATACTTTTAATAAGAATAAAAAATTGAATAACATATAATATATAATATATATACACAAGCATCATTAAAGTATGCAAGATGGGCTACTGTATAAAATTTATCACGATTAAATTATAATTAAAAATAAAATTTCATAAAATATTTGTCAATACTAAACTATTAATAAATAGGGTCTCTAACTATTTTATAATGGTTGAATCAAATCTAACCTACATAAGGCCATTAAAAACTTAAGACAACTCTGAATATATAATGCTGATTTATACAATGTAAGCATACACATATATGCAAGTTTGTCTTAAATTTTTAGAGATCTTATATAGATTAACAACAATTCAAATGTCACAAAATAAAAAGGTATTCTATTTGTGATTTAACATAACAAATGTGTCATGAGGTTTTATTTAATCACAGTTTAACTGTGGCAAATTTTAAATTCTATGATGTAATCCACTTTTATATTAGAAGTGACAAATTGGTATGCCTACTCCGTTTATGTTTGTCTCACTAAAACTTGGAAGAAGAAAAAAAGAAGCAAGCATAATTGAGAGTTCAAGACTAAAATTTTGATCCTTTCTAAAAAAAAAAAGAAAGAAAAAAAAGAAAAGAAGCCAAAATGAAACAAACATGCGGCCCCTGTACCCCTAATGACTAAAAGTTACAAAAATTCTTATTGATGATCCTAAAAACATGGTTCATTCCACAAAAAATATTAGCAAAATGAACATGATTGGCGGGTTGAACATATTTTACCATCTTACTCTACACATTATTAAAGTCGGAAAATGAAGAAGAATTCATATAAATTCATAGAAATTACATACCTGCTTCCCGGAAACCAAAGCTTTCTAGTTGCTTGAGCACAAAGAGTTTGTAATTGTGTGAGAAGATGAAATATTTGTTTCCCCTTTTTATAATTTGTCCCAAATTCTATTCTTGAAATAATATCTGCAGTGAGTTTTGTGAAATATTCTCCAATTTCAACCTCTATTTTGTCACACTCCAATGTGGCATTTTGAAGTGATTCAAGCATCTCTTTAGTGCATTCCATCATGTGTATAGCATAACTCTTTTAAGAGAGAGAAAATAATTCATGAGAAAATTAGTGGAATACAAAAATTATATAAACCAATATTTATCACTATTATTTTAACTATAGTTTTATATTGCAGACTACTTCCACAATCGCAATATAAATTATTTCAAATATCTTACCGTCATCGATATGCTAAATATGAATGTAGGGTTGATATATAGCAATTTTTTCTCAAATTTTTAATACCTTAAGTTTTTCTCTCATGAATGCTGGTGAAATTAGATGACGTTGATGATACCAATCATCACCATTTGCCATCAACAAACCTTTTCCTATAAAATTCTTAGATCCTTGTTGTTGCTGCCATGATTTCCCAGATATTGTACTATATTTTGAAAGAAATTCTTTGATCAATTCAATTTCTGTTAGACACAATCTTGGTTCTATTCCATTCCAATAGAAGAATTTTTTTCCTGAAAAATAATAAATATAATTTTGAAATCATTATATCAACAAATCTATCAAGTACAGACGCAAACACAAATATCAGACGACACTGGCACATAATCACTAATAATAATTTGAAAAATAAATAAATAAAAAATAATCACCGTCTATTTTTAAAGATATCGGTGCTACGGAGTAAAAAAAATCCATAAAATCATAAATTTCAATGTATTTATATATTTTTCATACCATATTGCTTGGACCAAGCAACAAAATGAGGCAAAAGACGACCAACAATATCATGGTTGATTGATTTCATGTCTTGAGAAGTTGCTTTGGAAACAAAAGATGAGATTTCTTTAAGATTTCCCGATAGAAATCTAGGTTTAGGACAAAACACTCCTTGCTTCTCCATAATCTTCTTGATTCTTATTGGATTAAGCCAATAACATGAAATTGTGTCATAAAAAACTTTAATCATTAGTGTCACAAGAATGACCAAAAAGGTTGTGAGAATCATCATTTTCTTAGTGAAATAATGATGATTCAAGAATGGTTAAGAATACAAATGAGTATATTAATTTGTAAGAGTTTATGGAAGAATGAATATTTGATGCTTGATTGTTCTAAATATATATAAGTTCAAATTTGTTTATTTGTTAATCCTAGGGGGTTGGTAGAGATTAGAATAATAATTTTCATTATTCTTTGTTAATCCTGGTTGCAGTTTAGTAATCATGAAGATCTATTAATCTTTTGAAAATAAATTTTTTATTAATTGATGTGTTATTTTAAGACCGTGCAGACCAGGTTGAGGTTGTAAGGTTAAGGTTTCATCTTAAATTCAAACTGCAGTCATTAATAAAAATTTAAATTTTGGGGGAAAAGTATAGCAATAGTATAATACAAAATGTTTATTTCCATAAAATATAAAAAATTAATAAATTTAATAAATTGGTAAACTGAAATTATTTTATATGTCTAATATATATCTTCTTTAAAATTATTTATATATCATATTTGAAATTTGACTGATAGATTACATTATAAACTGAATATGACAAATAAGCAATATATATTTTCTTTAAATGTATTCCATATATCACATTTGAAATTTGCCTGATATATTTATTTTACATTGTAATAAATATTATAATATATTATATTATTTATTATTTTCATTAAAAACTTTGACTGGTATATTGCATTATTAGTTCTATAACATAACGTATGTATATTTGATAAAGATTAGCTTAAGAATAGATAAAATTATATTGGCTGTATATAAAAAATAAAGTATATATATTTTCATGATATTTTTATGTCACACATTTTGAAAAGCTTATTTGTATATAATGTTTGATGTTGAATTAGTACATCGACTATCTTTATATCAATAACTTTAATCCTCCTCTTAAAGCAACGAATAAATATACTTTTTCTTCACCCATAAATAAATCAACCATATAATCATTAATCATATTAATAATATAATTTTTTGAGCCAATATAACAGATATGAAATTGCATATGAAAGTACAAAATATATATCTAGTGGATTAATAATCCAATGGTGACTGTCAACAAAGTATCCTTTATTTGTGTGTTGCACATCGGTAATATATAGCACAATTACTTAGATAAAAAATATCAAATAAATATATGAATCATAATAATTCTTAAGAAAAGTTGGTGCAGATTACTTTCGGAAAAATAAACATTAATTTTAAAACAGACAACAATATATAAACAAAATACAAACATATTCAAACATCTTAAACGTGATATTCTTCAAAGTAAAATAAGTATATTTACGGTTGATTGTCTCAGGTCCACCTAGTTTGATGGTGATAGTAACACGAAGATGTAATTGCATAAATTTTGCTCTGAATTAATGTCGTTAATGACAGAATAAAGTTATGAATAAAAGATTGATTTTTTTGAACAAATATAAGAAACTCTATTAGGTTTCACAAAAGAAAAGAGAATAAGGAAGAAGAATAGAGAATTCGTTAAATCTGTTTTACTATTCACTTTCTCAATAAGGGGTCAAAAATTACAAGTAAATACAAACAATTAACCTCTCTCAACAACCTGAAAGAACTCGTCTATTTATAGACTACTAAGCTAACTCAGATTACAAGCTAACTTGAAAATTGAACTTACAAGCAAGACCCAATTCGACATATAACAATCCTAATATTTCAACTAGTGCATGCTTGAGCATATTTCAACTACAACATACAAGATCAGTATGTGAGCAGACTCCTACTTTATACTAAACCTTCTGTCAAACCATTAAGCTACCCTTGTCGACACTAGAGTTCGATCTAAAATACCACAAATCTCCACCTTGGAACAAACTCTACACAAAACAAGGGAGCAAACTACCTTTCATCATGCAGCTTTATCAACTACATACATTAGAAAAACTTGATACTCGACAATGTCTTGGTGATCATATCAGCAACATTGTCATCAGTCGAAACCTTTAGCACTTGAACTTCTCCACGCTCGATTATCTCTTACGAACTACAACCTTACATCAATGTGTTTGGTTCGCTCATGATAGGCTGAATTCTTCAACAGGTGTATTTCACTTTGACGATCACATTTAACAATGATAATTCGACCTTGAAGTTTCAACTCCTTAGCAAAACCTTTAAGCCACAATGCTTCTTTCATAGCTCTATTGAAGGCCATATATTCTGCTTCAATGGTTGATATGACAACAACATTTTGAAGTGTCACTTTCCAATTAATTGATGTGTCAAACATAGTGAACACATATCCAGAAATAGATTTTTTGAAATCCATGCAACCTTCATAATCAGGGTCAACAAATCCTTTAATTTCGACTTTCCTGTCATCACCACAAGTTCCGCCATAAATCAGGATTCTTCTAAGAGACCCATTGATGTTCCTAAGAATCCACTTTAATGCTTGCTAGTGCGCCTTTCCAGGATTGGCCATATACCTGCGTATAAGGCTCACTTCATATGCTATGTCTGGCCTTGTACATACAATAACATACATCAAAGAACCTACTATAATAGCATATGGGATGTTATTTATATAACCTCTTTAGACTTTACTACTAGGACTTTGAGTCGTACTCAGCTTGTACTGAGAATTAGTCGGTGTTAGAACAGACTTTGAATTCGACATACCAAACTTGTTGAGAATCTTCTTCAGGTATGTCTCTTGAGATAAGCATAACCTCGACTGCTTTCTATCTCTCTAGATGTCAATCCCAAGACTTCTGGAGGCAGCTCCCAAATCCTTCGTATCGAACTTCTATCGATTTCAGCCTTTGTCATACCCTAATTTTTAACTCTAAGATTTCACCTCATTTGTATCTTCGCAATGCATCAAGATTACAAATTTGATTCTCGTTACCCTATCATCCTTGGGTTCAACAAGAACCTTTCTTTGTATCTCTTCCTTTGTGTTCATATGTTTTATATGTTACTAACCTCTAATCAAAATATAAAAAAATATGTTGTGCCCTTTTTGTTTCTTTGCAAGGTAGGATTTTGTATCAAAAGTATCAAGCATGGTTCCTCAGCTAGGATTTTGGTACCTCAAGTAAAAGTGTGGTCAAACATTTATTCTCAAGTGCATCTTCATCAAGGAAGGCCTCTAATCTCAAAGTGATTGATCTCAAGCATCATCCAAGTTCATTTTTTATCAAGGATATCTCAAGTTTTAGTAGCTTGTTCCTCAAGAAAAGTTAAAGGTTCATGTGTTTATTTCCATACATTCATCAATAATTTACCTCAAGCATTAATCAATTCAATAAAAGGACATTCAAGAGGACATTATTTTGAGTTTGTATGATTATCCATGTTCCTTGAAATGCAAGAAAAGTCCAAGATCACAAGTTGATTCAAAGTGGTTTGACTTAAAAAGTCAACATTTGAAAGTCAAAGTTCAAAAGATTACAACTCCTTTAATTTTCAATATTTTTGAATGCTCCTTTTTGAATATGACTCTTCTCAACATCCCCTACAACTTCCTTTTACATGACAAGATCCAATTATTCTTGGAGGATCATCAAAAGTTTGAAGACATTATAGGTCATTTTTGGACTTAATAAAATTTTGACTTGGTTTCAAGTGACTTTTTCTCAAATTTCAAGAATCATAACTTCTTCAACTTTCAATATTTGAGGATGATTCTTTTTACACAATATCATTTGTGATTCCCTCAACAAGTTTACCTCAAAGGTTAAAAGCCAATTGTGTTTGGAAGACCATGGAATTCATTGATACATTTGTAGCACCCCAAAATTTTCCTTTCCGTTTTAGCAGTATCTGACTTTTGTTTCTTTGCATTTTCGTATTTCTGCATTTGCATAGCATTCGTCCGTGAGACAGGGGATCAAGGTTTTCCTGTGGCTCAGTTTTCATCTCAGTGCATGAACCTGAACAGCGAGCATCAGAGGCTCTGGCATTTATTTTGCCCAGCGGTCGGGCGACCGATTTTATTTTATTTTTGCAGGGTACTTTCAGCTCAGAAAGCAGTATTCAGGCTATCGCAAGCATTTTCATGGTTATGATATTCAAAAGCAAGTTTCAGAAGTTGAACAGAGCTCAAACAGTTGGAAACAAACAAACGGGCAGATTTCCCTCCAAAAGGCGTCAAAATTCAAATTTTGAAGGTGTTAATCGATTAACACATATGGTTAATCGATTAACCAAGTCAAAATTAGGTCAAATCTAAAGTTTTGAAGGTGTTAATCGATTAACCTATATGGTTAATCGATTAACCAGTGCAAATTTTGCCTCTGCACGTGAATTTTCAATACAAACCATTTTGAGGTCCAATTTTGGTCATGTGCAAATATGATTTTCACTTTGGTAAGGATCTAGAACCTATTTGAAATTTGGTTAATTTCATTTTCCCTCCAAATGCCCATTCCTCATTCCAAACCAAATTTTCCAAAGCATATTCCAAACCTTACATTTGGATCCAAGCCTAAGTGATATTTAAGTGATCCACTCCAAACCAAAGGGGGCTAATCACTCATAATTCACTCTCATTTTCAGAGTTGATCTCATTCTCTCTCAATTTCCCAATCTCCAAAACCCTCATCAAAGCTCTTCTCATTGAAATCATTGATTCTTCATTGGAATCCTTGATTTCTAAGAGCTAAACCTTCATCCATTCCCTCCATTAAATCAATTTCTTCATCCAATTTCATGCAAAATTGGATCTGAACTTGGAAGTGATTTTACAAGTGATTATTTGGAGCAATTTGGTGTAATCTTGAAGGATCTTCATTGCTACTACAAGAATTGGTGTGGATCTTGAAGTATTTCGGACTTCTAGCATTGGATCTGTTCAATTACAGTTGAATCAACACTAACCGAAGCAAATCTCCGCTTCGAAGGTTGGAAGTTCTTGATCCGAATCTGTTTTTAGCTTATTTGCATAATCATGTGGATTTTTATATTTGATTGAGCTTTGGTTAATTTGATCCATTTGATTCATGATTTGGTTGTGTTAATCTGTTCATATG